GTATCTCCAATCTTGATTCAAATTTAAGTCAAGTTTAACTAAAAAACTTAATTGGGTACAAAGGGTTTTAATGGACAAACTCATATTTAAAGGTGGGCAAAAATTTAAATTTAATGGAGGTTGAAATATGATTATTAGATCTTTGAAGGAGAATGAAAACTGATTTGAGTAAAAATTTGAGTTTATCTTCATTTGATATAAGTTTAAGTAAAGACTTGGAGCATGTTTTTACTTAAATTTAAATTTGAGTCAAGATTTGAGAGTAAGGGTTGGAGATGCTCATACATTTGTCAGAAACCACATGAGGGAAGTTGCTAATTGTCAAATTCTAGGAGATATGTTTTTTGTAAATTACCCTAATTTTTTTGTGAAAAATAGTAATTTGAAAAAATTAGCTGAAAGAAAGATGGAACATCAGTTAGATTGGAAGGTTGGCAACCTTTTGGAATATTTACCATAATAATTATTTTCAGCAATGCATCTGAAAAAAGTCTAATTGCAAATCCACCAGCTGAAATGGACAAGACAATATCATCTACTAATGCATAATACTTTCCATTACTTTGCAATGCATTATTTGAAATAGTTTAGCAACACACTACCAAACACAAACATAACATTAATGCCACAGAAGAGTTTCCCATCAGAATGATATTGGATTTCAGGCATTCTGGCAAGCAAAACTACCAAAGCAGAAAACTTCAAATATGTGAGACAAGATAAGGTGAACTGTGACAAGAACCAAGAAATTAAAAGCAACATGCAAAATCCTAATCGGCATTGATGGCAATTCTGTGCATGACCTTAGCAACAACTTCCTTAGAGGCCGTCAGCAGCTTGAGACTTTGGTTCAATCTCTCACGCTTTATGACAACTGACGGCGCTTCTTCTAGCAACTGTTCGAGTCCACCACCATGAGGGGCCATGAGTTCATTCACTATCTCCATCTCCATGTTCATGTTCATGTTCACCAGACTCTTAACACTAAATTGCAGGTGCAGAGCCATGCAATCAACAAGTCTTTTCAGAACAATCTTCTGGTATGCGGTAATTCTCATTTTTTTGTCAAATGCTTGGTCTCTAATAATAGGGAGGAGCCGCAAATGGCCAACTTCAACTTCCCCAAAACCATCAAAAGTGATCTGTGTGGACTTCTCCATCTCAATTATCTCCACCACTCGATCAACTGACATTTTCTTCCTCTTAGCAATAAGGTTCTGGGCTGCCCTTCTTGTAGATGACTCTAGTTGTGGATAATGTTCTGCATGACGCATCAAAACAGGAACCACCACCACTGTCTCAGTGTAGTCCCATACGACAGAGAGAAACTGAACTGGAGCTCCTGATATCTCATTTACTTTTTTCTGCAGGAGCATGAGAAAAGCCGAGTGAGGAAAGAAATTTGGTAGCCCCATGCCTCTGGTTTCCTCAAGAACCTTTATCTCCTCCATTAGAAAATTGTCCGTGTAGTTATTTTCTGAACTCTTTTGCAGTTCCTGAGTACACTGGTTGAGCATTTTTGCAAGTCGAGCAGTGCAATGCATGTGTTTGTCATCTGGGTATTCCTCGAACTCGTCTCTCAAGAGGACTTTCCTAAGACAAGGGGGGAGAATGTGCTAGGACAAGGCCTTTTGGTGTTAATGAGGTTGTTTTGGATGGTTATAATTTGGAGATGTATATGATTCAATTGCAGGAGCTGAGGATTGCAAAAAGAGTAGGCAGGAAGAGAGGGCTGAAATTTAGGTTGCTTGATACAACACAACCTATTTTGTTGAGACCAGATGGTCATCCTGATAAATATGGGCATTGGCCAATTGAGAATAAGACTCTGGTTAATGACTGTGTGCACTGGTGCTTGCCTGGACCTGTTGACACTTGGAATGATTTTTTACTAGAGATGTTGAAATGGGAAGATAGGAGCTAGATTAAAACGAATGCTACCCTATGAACAAAACTTCAGTCTATGGCGGATTCGGGAGTTGAGCTAGATCGCCTGACCAATTTTTTTTTATTTGGGTGGCAAACAAAAAGATACCAGTTAGATTTTTGTTCATAAATTTTGATTTTCTTTTTAAAAAAAAACACGTAGAGGTTCATAGACATTGTCAATGGAATTGTTTGGGAGGTCTGAAAATTGAGTTTCTATTTGTTGTGTTTAAAGGGGAGAATTACAAAAGGAACATGTTATACCGGTATTGCAAATGTTGTCATCGATGTTGATTTCTTGAAAAGATTTTTTTCATTTTCATTTTAATCACTTTATTAAATAGCCCCCTCACATTTGATAAATTACACAAAATCCCTTCAAATTTATTCACATGTAACGCATAATACCCTTGTCATCATGCTCCGTTAAACAACTTTCTAAAACTCGATGACATCCCTATATCTTTTATACCAAATTACCCCCATCATTTTCATTTAAAAATCTTTTACCCCCTGAATAAATCAATTTGTTGCAATAATTTACCCTCTCCTCCACTTCCCCTTCCCAACACACCCACATACACCTCTAAACACCACCGACTGCTACACTCTCCCCAACACTAACAAACAATCCCAAAACCACCATCCACCTATGCAACAAACCCCAAAATGCTCAACTGCCAGGCATGTACCCAGCATCCCTCACCCAAAACAACCACCACACACCCACGTGACCCAGCGCCACCGCTAGCCACCTCTCTCTCTCTCTCTCTCTCTCTCTCTCTCTCTCTCGCTGT